CGTCCCTTTGGCAGGCACAGGTGCTGAGTTGTTCACTGGGAGGTGCAGAATGTCTGGTGGTCTCTTTTTTTTGATGTTAGCAACTGTTGATGTTCATTACCTGAATTCATTAGTCGTGGGAAGGAGGTTGTGAAATGGTTATTTGTAATTTTGTCTTTTTTCTTGCTTCATTCAGTAGTTGGAATATTTATAAAGTAATGCTTTCTTTTATTTCTTATTTGGTTACCAATGATACTTTTTGTATGGGAAAAGTATAACACATGCTCATCATTTCCCTTCATTCATAATAAATAATCGGTTTCTTATGTTTTTAATGTTATTATTAACACACATACCCACACATACTTAATGGATTTTAATCAGCTGCAATTATGAACTGTTTTGAAACTTGGATTGTCCCATTGGTGTCCATGGGAACTTCTTCACATCAGCTTTTGCAATCTTTTTGAATGACCTGGTAGTTATGGATAGAATCCTTCCTATTTGGTATGACAAGATACTCCATTTTCATTTTAAATATTTACTGGCTGGGACCTGGAATCAGATTGCAGCCTGGGTGCTGACGGGACTTCCCTGTGTTGGCCATTCTTCACAGGCCCCTTCGTGGGCAGAGCTGGCAACACAGACACACAGAGACCAGATTTGGAAATCTGCGTGTGTATTTTCTGGGTACTGTGTCACCTAGTTTTGCTGTAAATGTCCATTAACTTTTTAGTTTAGCCATCTAGTTGCTTTCCTTTTTTATACACAGATTTAGAGATTAAAAGAATTTCTGGGCTCATCACCTGTTGCTCAGTGGTTAGGGCAGTGGCCACATACACTGAGGCCGGAGGGTTCCAACCTGGTCCAGGCCTGCTAAACAACAATGACAACTGCAACAACAACAACAACAAAAAATATACAGGGCCTTGTGGCAAGCACATGTAGTCCTAGCTACTTGGGAGGTTGAGGCAAGAGAATCACTTGAGCCCAGGAGTTTGAGGTTGACGTGAGCTGTGACACTACAGCACTCTAGTGAGGGCATCACAATAAGACTCTGTCTCAAAAAAAAAAAAAAAGTTTCTGCTATCTCTGTTAATTGGGAGCCAATTTGCCATGGCAGTTGACCGTGTTCATCAGCACCCAAGCTGATTGATACCCAAAGGATCACTCTGTATGGCTTTTTATAAATGGCACCTAGAAATTTGAGGCACAAATTCCCTTTTTAGAAAATAGACATTTCCTCACTTCTCTGTTCTTTCCATCATATTCGATTTCAGTCCTTTAATGATTGGAGAGAGTTCATTGACCCTTATTACCCCACCTCATGTAGGCAGTTTACAAACCCAAAAGAAGATCAGTACCTGTTCCACAGAGAGGTTATTCTGAGTGTGTTGGTTTGTATCATGTACTAGCCTTGACTCTGAATAGACCGTGTCTATATCTGATAATCATTTCCATCCTCAAAAGGAGATTGAGCACCATTGAGAAAGTATTGCCGACAATACTTTCGGAGCTACAAGTTCTGAAGGCATTTTCCAAATAGGACTTGGGTATTCTGAAGCAGCTATGTCCATGCCCACCATGATTAATACTTTTATCATAGAGAAGGGCAGTGTTTTACTCTACGTAAGATATAAAAGTAAAGTCTTCACAAAGTAAAATATTAGAAGCCATAAAAAGGTTCTATTTTGTTGTTGTTGTTGTTAGTTGTTGAAACTTAATATGTGGGCAATAATATATGTAGCATTTGGGCCTTGATCGTCTTTAAAAATCTTGATCCTTTTAGAATGGTACTCCTTTGTCTTACTGTCTAACCTGTAGACAGTAAGTTCTCAACTCTGGCTTGGCAGTAGAATCACCTATCACCTTGATTTTTAGCAATACCGTTGTCCTGGGTCAAGCCCCAATATTCTGAATTAATTGATCTGGGCCTGGGCCAAGAATCTGAGTTTTTTAAAGCCTGGATAGTTAGTTCCTAAACCGATGCTCTCTATTAAGTTTAGCTGCTTCTCCTTAACACAGACACTAGGACTATTTCTTAAAAGGGAAAATAAGAAAAAATAAAAAAGAATAGTTAAGAAAAACCAACACCAACAACTAAAGCTAAAAAAGTACTGGACTCAATGCCTGTTCTATTGAGCCTGGCATCAGCATGTAAATTTAGCCAAAAGAACAAAACAGAGATTAAAGCCACAGAGCCAGAACTTGAACTAGGATCCCTAATGGAGATTAATATTTTCTTCAGCAGTCTGCCAGCTGAATCATGGTCTAATTAAATAGTTCAGATTTAGTGAGTTTGCATTTAAAGTGTTAGCAGATCCGAGAATGGGGTAAAGCTAAAATGAGTTAGAATCTTTTCTGTAAATGGGAAGTTAAATTATCATAGTAATTTGATTAAATCATTTTTAAATCTCTCAAGCTAAATCACAGCCTTTAAAGAATAGTTTGAAGTCTTAATTGCTGTTTGTGAGCACATCTCTCTGCTATTTGTTCTCGCCTCATTTCCTGTGACATCCTATAATATATCTCCTGCCGGGTGGGAGGCGTAGGGAAGGCAGGAGTTGTGTGAGGACCAGGGTAGGGTAGCTGTGTGCTGACTTCAAGCATTTAAAGATGCGCCAGGTAGGAAAAGGAAATTTATCCTGTATCGTTCCAGTAGGTAGAACTAGAACCAAAGGCTGAAACTAAGCAGGAGACATTTCTAATAGTGCTGTCCCTTGTCAAATAGAATTCATGCTTTACATACAACTGGAAATGTCTTCCTAAGAATGTTGCAAAGAAGATTGCTGTAAAGATGAAGATGGAAGTGTGAGTGAGCTCAGAAGACAATTTCATCTCATCATTTAAAAAAAAAGAGATGCCATGTGGTACACGCTAGCAGCCTAATTTGATCCAAAGAAAGTTTGAGTTTACCCCTGGCTCTGATCCTTAGTGCCAGTGCCACCTGCCACCTAGGTCCATCGGGAGATAAAATGAGGCAGTGTTCACTTGAAACAGGTGCTTAATAAATGGTAACTTTACTGTGGTATGCTGCTTTTCTCTTATCTAGTTGAAAAATAGTTGTTGTTTTTATTTTATTTTGTTTTGTCTCTATAGTATGTAATTTCTACTTGCCTCATCCATCTATTCCCCTCTATTTCCTATAGAGAGCTCCCCTTCAGTCCCCAGGTAGGCTGGGTGCAAATCCTCCCCGTCTCCATTCCCTTCTGTACAAGCTCCTTTCTCCGGTCATTTGTGTGTTAGGACTCCCGGTGACCGTGTGTTCACGGGTTTTCCTTTGGGCAACGTTTTAGTGCAGACATAGAACGGAAAAAATACCAGAGCATGTTGTCATCATCCCTGTGACTATTTCTCCATCACTGACCCTCAGTCAGCTTCTGAAAGTATGCATGCTCAGTTCTAAGAGATGACACCGTGGGAAGTGGATGAAATTGTTATGCTGAGAGGAACTAGAATGGAGAGACACCGGGTAGGAACAGTGCACAGGGCCAAGCCAGGTGTGTGTTGGAGAATGGCCTAAGTCTTGCTCCAGAGCACCGCTCTGGGGCACTTTCCAACTTTGAAGAATTCCTTTTTTCGGCTCCACCAGCAGAAACTGAGTCTTGAGCAATAAATACTTACAAGTAACAATATTGCAGATTATATTGTTTCATTTATAATGTGGGCCTCATGCAGATTATTTGCTCTATGATGTCAGATATCACAAAAGATATGCACAGACCTTTGGAGGGCTTTTTGGTTTTTTTTTCTTATCAGCTTTCATTAGTGTTCGTGTATGTGAGGTGTGGCCTAAGACAACTTTTACTGTTCCAATGTGTGGCAGAAAAGAAAAAGGTTGCACACCCCTGTACAGAAATGGTGGTCAGTTTCCCAGCGATGTGGTGAAATGGTTCAAAATGACCATGTGATGAACAAATAAGTAAAATCAAGTTTTTTTTAAAAAAAATGTTGCTAGTTCTACCTGCCTATTTTTAAATTACTCAGCCATAATTTTATATTATATGTTTAGCCACTTGATTTTATATCTCCTCTCTCTGCTCATATGATCTATATTTGAATTGTATGAAAGATTAGGCTAACTACATATATCTTTGAGCTCAGCATTCTTAGAGAACTAGAATTATTAAACATGAAGAATCCCCCAAAGACTCCATTATGTGTAATTAACAGATAAACTGTCATCAGAATCAATAAAACGTGCTAAATGATTCAAACTTGTATATAATTAAGTGTCTGCTTTAGAGCTAGTGCTGTTAACTTTTATTTTTTTCCCCACATCTCCCATTTCTCACAAGAATAACTGTGGCAACCTTGTTAACCCTTTTTTTGCTTGATTGAATTAGATTTTCGAATTAGTCCTTGAAAGGCAAAGTTCACCTTTAGAAATGTGAAAAATATTTCAGAACTCCACCATGTGAAGACATCATTAGTTCTTCAGCAGAGAAACAGACTATGTAAGGAGGCTTTAACGAACTGCCATAGAAACCCTAAACGGGGATAAACCAGGCGTGGTGATTTCTGGATAGGGCTAGAATTGATGGGGTTGCACGGAATTCTTAGGATCTTAGTTACCAACATTTTCCCCCTTTGGGCAGCCAATATCAGTATTTTAAAGAACTTGACCTCACGCGGCGCTTAGAATAATCTTTTTCATACCTGTCTTTCTGTAATTGTCAAATGAATAAATATAGGAATGAGGCAATTAACTAGCCAAGATTGTAGTCTGCTGAAGGAAAGCTTTCTCTTCCTCAATGATGGCTGGAAAAAAAACCCACACCTTTAAAATAATAGATCTTTTATAAGAATGTCCATGTTTTAAATAAATATTAGAATAAAAACCAGAAAGATTAAAAAAAACATATTAGAAATTATCTACTGTTGGGGAGGTTGGGGGGGAAATAGAGATTTTAGAAATATGAGGGTCTGAGCAAATCACAGCTTCAAGCTTAGAGACGTCTGAGGATAATAGGTTTGTTATTACTAATACGATTGTTTATGTTTTTTGCTTCATGGTACAGACTCCATGCACATAGAAGACGTGGAAGCCGTCCAGAAGCTTCAGGACGTCTTACACGAGGCCCTGCAGGATTACGAGGCCGGCCAGCACATGGAAGACCCTCGCCGGGCCGGCAAGATGCTGATGACGCTGCCGCTGCTGAGGCAGACCTCCACCAAGGCCGTGCAGCACTTCTACAACATTAAACTGGAAGGCAAAGTCCCCATGCACAAACTTTTTTTGGAAATGCTAGAGGCCAAGGTCTGACTAAAAGCTTCCTGGGCCTTCCCATTCTGCACGTTGAAAAAGGGAAAATAAACCCAAGAGTGATATCGAAGAAATTTAGAGTTTAGTTAACAACATCAAAAATCAACAAAGACTGCACTGATAATTTAGCAGCAAGACTACGAAGCAGCTTTCAGATTCCTCCGTATCTTCCCGATGAAGTTTCTGTTTTCTCTCTCATCCTCTTTTCTCCACCCCCCCCCCACTTCTTTGTCCCTTCCTCCCCGTCCTCATTCATTCCCTGGCTGCTTTCATTACTGGCCCCCTCTCGCCTTCATTTTAACGCCTGCCTGCTTTTCTGTCTTCTTTCTGTTCTCCTATTCTGCACCTTGTGTTTTTCCAATCCCCTCCCTTCTTCTAAATTTTAAATAGCTTTAGTTGTAAATTGTTTTTTTCTCCCTTCCCTCTTTGCTTCCTTCCTTTCCTTCCCTTCCTTTCCGTCCTTCTGCTGCTGAACTTTTAAAAGAGGTCTCTAACCGAAGAGAGATAGAAGCCAGCCCTGCCAAAGGATGGAGATCCATGCTATGGATACCAGTGAACTTATTGTGAACCGTAACGTCCCCAATGACTAAGGAATCAAAGAGAGAGAACCAACGTACCTAAAAGGACAGTGCAACATACACGAATTGACTGAGTGCAGTATTAGATTTCACGGGAGCAGCCTCTAATTAGACAACTTAAGGACGTGGCATCGGCTGCTCCTTATCATTGCTTTTCCATCTAGATCAGTTACAGCCATTTGATTCCTTAATTGTTTTTTCAAGTCTTCCAGGTATTTGTTAGTTTAGCTACTATGTAACTTTTTCAGGGAATAGTTTAAGCTTTATTCATTCATGCAATACTAAAGAGAAATAAGAATACTGCAATTCTGTGCTGGCTTTGAACAGTTATGAACAATAATGAAGGACACGTGAATCCTGAAGGAAGAATTTTTAAAAATGTTTTGTTTCTTCTTACAAATGGAGATTTTTTTGTACCAGCTTTACCACTTTTCAGCCATTTATTAATATGGGAATTTAACTTACTCAAGCAATAGTTGAAGGGAAGGTGCATATTATCACGGATGCAATTTATGTTGTGTGCCAGTCTGGTCCCAAACATCAGTTTCTTACCATGAGCTCCAGTTTACCTAGATGTTCACTGACACAGAGGATTAGATTACACCACAGTGACTCTGAGCAGTCACACATATGAACACTGCACGTGGAGTACAGATCCATGCCATTGTCACGAGTGCACCTCTCTACCTGGGAGGCAGTTGCCATAAGATTTCTAGCTGCCATGGTAGTTAGGAATGAGATACTGCCTGTTTGCAAAGTGAAAAACCTTGTCTCAGAAGGACCTGTGAGCCAGTATTCATTTAAAAGGCAATAAGGCAAATGCCAGAATTAAAAAAAAAAAAAAAATCGTCAACGACAACAGATGCCTGACCAAATTCTAAAACCTAATCCGTATGAGTATATTCACTTAGGAATGTTTGTTTAAATTAATCTGCAGTTTTTACCAAGAGCTAAGCCAATATATGTGCTTTTCAACCAGTATTGTCACAGCATGAAAGCCAGTCAGGTTCCAGACTGTTAAGAGGTGTAATCTAATGAAGAAATCAATTAGATGCCCCCGAAATCTACAGTCGCTGAATAACCAATAAACAGTAACCTCCATCAAATGCTATACCAATGGACCAGTGTTAGTAGCTGCTCCCTGTACTATGTGAACAGTCTTATTCTATGTACACAGATGTAATTAAAATTGTAATCCTAACAAACAAAAGAGATGTAGTTCAGCTTTTCAATGTTTCATGTTTGCTGTGCTTTTCTGAATTTTATGTTGCATTCAAAGACTGTCGTCTTGTTCTCGTGGTGTTTGGATTCTTGTGGCGTGTGCTTTTAGACACAGGGTAGAATTAGAGACAATATTGGATGTACAATTCCTCAGGAGACTACAGTAGTATATTCTATTCCTTACCAGTAATAAGGTTCTTCCTAATAATAATTAAGAGATTGAAACTCCAAACAAGTATTCATTATAAACAGATACACATCAAAGTCATAATAATATTTTCAAAACAAGGAATAATTTCTCTAATGGTTTATTATAGAATACCAATGTATAGCTTAGAAATAAAACTTTGAATATTTCAAGAATATAGATAAGTCTAATTTTTAAATGCTGTATATATGGCTTTCACTCGATCATCTCTCAGATGTTGTTATTAACTCGCTCTCTGTGTTGTTGCAAAACTTTTTGGTGCGGACTCGTTTCCAAAACTATTGCTACTTTGTGTGCTTTAAACAAAATACCTTGGGTTGATGTTTCCTCAGCCCAGTGCTAGGAATACTGTGTATCTATCATTAGCTATATGGGATTATATTGTAGATTGTGGTTTCTCAGTAGAGAAGTGACTGTAGTGTGATTCTAGATAAATCATCATTAGCAATTCATTCAGATGGTCAATAACTTGAAATTTATAGCTGTGATAGGAGTTCAGAAATTGGCACGTCCCTTTAAAAATAACAACAGAAAATACAACTCCTGGGATAAAAAAAGGTGCTGATTCTATAAGATTATTTATATATGTAAGTGTTTAAAAAGATTATTTTCCAGAACGTTTGTGCAGGGTTTAAGTTGCTACTATTCAACTACACTACATAATAAATGATGAAATATATACAAATAAAGACATTGTTTTCACTGTATCACATTAAAGTACTTGGACTTCAGAAGTAAGAGGCAACCAGCTGAAAACATGAGAGGGAGATACATTGAAAGAAGGCGATACAGTTTATAGCTTTCAGTTTCCAAGCTGTCAGCATTACAAATGAATAAGCATCTCACCAGTAGGAAATAAAGCTAAAACGTAGATCTAAATGAACTGCACGGGCTTTAGGGCAAATGCTCATCTTAATCCTCACTCGAGGGAAGTTTCTTCAAGTTTCAAGCAAGACCATTTACTTAATGTGAAGTTTTGGAAAGTTATAAAGGGGTATGTTTTAGCCATATGATTTTTAATTTTTATTTTGCTTCTTTTAGGTTTGTTCTTATTTAAAGCAATATGATTGTGTGACTCCTCGTAGTTACACTTGTGTTTCAATCAGATCAGATTGTTGTATTTATTCCACTATTTTGCATTTAAATGATAACATAAAAGATATAAAAAATTTAAAACTGCTATTTTTCTTATAGAAGAGAAAATGGGTGTTGGTGATTGTATTTTAATTATTTAAGCGTCTCTGTTTACCTGCCTAGGAAAACATTTTATGGCAGTCTTATGTGCAAAGATCGTAAAAGGACAAAAAAAAAAAAATTAAACTGCTTATAATAATCCAGGAGTTGCATTATAGCCAGTAGTAAAAATAATAATGATAATAATAATAATAAAACCATGTCGATAGCTGTAGATGGGCTTCACATCTGTAAAGCAATCAATTGTATATTTTTGTGATGTGTACCATACCGTGTGCTCCAGCAAATGTCCATTTGTGTAAATGTATTTATTTTATATTGTATATATTGTTAAATGCAAAAAGGAGATATGATTCTGTAACTCCAATCAGTTCAGATGTGTAACTCAAATTATTATGCCTTTCAGGATGACGGTAGAGCAATATTAAACAAGCTTCCACTTTTGACCGCTCTTCTGCTTTGTGTTTCTTTTTGTGTGTCCCCCCCACAATAGAATCAAATCAATAAGCAATGCCCTTTGTTGCTTCCATTCAAAGAGTATCTCTGAGTACCTGTTCCCTAAAAATAAAGTAGGAGTTTAAATAAGAGCTATATAAAGGCTTGTCAGAATGAATTCTAGGGTGCCAAGAGACATTTTGCATATTTAAGAGTATGCAAAGTGTCTCGTGGCGCATTAGAATTCATTCTGACAAGCCTTTATATAGCTCTTATTTAATCTTAAAGCATCTCCACATCATCCTGCATTACTCAAAATCATCGCCTCTATGTCAATGTCATAACAGAAAACTTTCCCCCTATTTTAAGATCATATTAAAACCTGCTAGAGATACCTATTATTTCCCTCTATCAACAATTAAATCCTGCGCTGGCACGGAGCTCATCAGCAAGCTGCAGGCCGTGGAGCAGCGGTGGGGTTCTGCCCGGATTTCCTGAATGGGAAGTCAACCGCAGAGCTTGGAGATCAGTGTGAGTTAGGAGGGGATGCTGTCTCCCAGTTCAAGAGGGGGCTAAACAGCGCTGCTGACAGCAAAACGGCCTCCCAGTGCCTTCCGTGCTCGGAGAGGTCACAGCCCATGCTGCGCAGGGTCAGCGTGCGGCTTCCATCGGACCCTCCTGGAGCCATCACCGAAGTGCTAATATGTGCTTTTTCGGCTTCTCTGCCTACCTTGAGGTGTTTGTCATTGTGTTTGCCCACCGTGTTTCTCACCTTTCAGAGGTGGCCAGTTCTCTGGAGAAGCCAGCTGATGACACAGAGGCCACTTGGCTGCATCAGCTTTAGGGACATGAGACTGACTGTCTAAATCAGTCTGAGGCACCAGCTAGCCGCGGAGCTCACTATTGTCTTTTGCTGTTTCAGTGTCCTTTCGGTGACAACCACTCAACATAGGATCTGACGTGTTATACTTTTGATATTTTCAAAGTGCGTAGGTGAGACGAAAGCAATAATGCAGGATGCAAACCTCACAGGAAGAATCCTGTCTGCAAAGTTCCAGGGAGCTGCTCCCTGTAAAACGTGGGCTAGACACACACACACACACACACTTTTAAGTTCTTGTGCCAGAATTCTCTTGCTATTTTTTTATCACTTAAAATTATTACAGGGTATCTTTTCTGGTACTGACATATTATCAGAGGCTGCCTCATGTGTAAAAGAAAATAGAGGATACTGAGATTTCAGCATGCTGCCTTTCTCAATACCTGCACAAGTGGCTCTGATAAATGGGTTATGTGTTTATTTTAAGGGATCACTCTTATTTTCAAAAGCGATTTATGTTTAAGCCAGTGGTTCCCAAATGTGTCTTCACGTTGGAGTCACCTGGGAGTGTCAAAAACTTGCGATGCTCAGGTCTTAGCCTGCAAAGGTTGTGGTTTCTTTGGTCTTAAATATGGCCTGGGCTTTGGAATGCTTAAAATAGATCTCTAGGTGATTCAAATGTGAAGATAAGACAGGGAAA